TCAGTAAACTTCCTCGGTTTCGTACTGACACCCGGAGGGGTCAGCATGGGTGAGAACAAAGTCACCGCCATCAGTAACTGGCCCAAACCCACCACCGTTAAGGAACTCCAACGTTTCATTGGGTTCTCCAACTTCTATCGCCGGTTCATTCGGAACTTCAGTTCTAATGCCGCTCCCCTCACTGCCCTTACCAGCCAAAAGACCCGGACCCTTCAATGGACTGATGCCGCACTGACTGCTTTCAACACCTTGAAACGCCTCTTCACCTCAGCTCCTGTCCTTCGCCAACCTGATCCGACCCTTCCTTTCACCCTGGAGATGATTGCATCCGAAGTAGGAGTAGGAGCCATACTCTCTCAGCGGGTGGGAACACCTCCAAAATCACATCCTTGTGCCTTCTTCTCCAGGAAGTTATCCCCTGCAGAGAGGAATTACGATGTGGGGAACAGAGAACTCCTCGCCATCAAGTTGGCCCTCGAGGAGTGGCGCCACTGGTTGGAGGGCGCACAACATCCCTTTCTCGTCCTAACAGATCATCGTAATCTGGAATATATCAGAGGGGCCAAGATGTTAAACTCCAGACAAACCCGCTGGGCTCTCTTCTTCACACGCTTCCATTTCTGTGTTACTTATGTCCCTGGAAAGAAAAACAAAAGCTGATGCTCTCTCCTGCCTGTTTGACCTTCCGACCAGTAACTCAGACCCTACACCCATTCTTCCTTCCTCTTGCATTATGGGACATGTACAGTAGGAGGTTCACTCTGCCATACAAGAAGCCCTAGCCTCCTCCTGAGACACCAGCTGGGAAGAGTTACGTACCAGCAGCTGTTAGACCCCCAACTGATGCAATGGTGTCACACGTCCTTGGGGTCAGGACATCTGGGCATTACACGAACCACCGAACTTCTAGCCCGTAAGTTCTGGTGGTCCTCACTGGCATCCGACGTCAGGGATTACATACTCTCCTGTCTAGTCTGCGCCCAAACCAAAAGTCCTTGTCATCTCCCTTCCGTTAAGCTTCAACCTTTGCCAATCCCTCACAGACCCTGGTCCCACATAGCTGTTGACTTAGTCACAGACCTTCCTGAATCCTCTGGTAACACCACCATCCTGGTCATAGTAGACCGTTTTTCAAAAATGTGTTGTCTGGTTCCTCTTCCTCATTTACCTAACACAATGGAATTGGCTGAGTGTATGTTCCAACAGGTGTTCCGTCTGTATGGGATTCCGGAGGACATCGTCTCTGACCGCGGGCCCCAGTTTGTCTCCCGGGTGTGGCGAGCCTTCTGTGACCAACTGGGGGTCGCCCTCAGCCTCTCCTCCGGGTACCATCCCCAGACCAATGGGCAGACGGAACGCCTGAACCAAGAAATAGGGAAATACCTCCGCCAACAATGTTCTGCCTCTCCACACGACTGGAGTCGGTATATGGCCTGGGCCGAATACGCTCAGAACTCACTCATGCATTCATCCCTCCGCCTTACTCCGTTTCAGTGTGTCCTTGGTTACCAACCCCCCATGTTTCCCTGGGAGGCGGAGCCTGGTACTGTCCCAGCTGTCGACGACTGGTTTCGGCACAGTGAGCGGATATGACAGACCGCTCACCGGCATCTGCAGGAAGCCTCTAATACCCAGAAATGCAATGTCGACACCTGCTGCGCTCTGCGCGTGAATCTACACCTTTTTCTCCCTGAGTATTCATTACACATATGACCGACCAATACTGGGTCATGCATGTGACAGACCAATACCTCACGAGGCTTCTTCTCTCTAAGCTGAGACCTTGAAAAATGGAGATATCCCTTTCTCAAAACAAGGTTCTGGGCGTACTGCCAAATTGAAGATACTGATAGTGAGAATTCATTCAATCAGTCGCTTGCATGAACACAGAAATTGGTTATTAGAAAAGCACATGAATAGAACACAGAAATTGGTTATTAGAAAAGCACAAACAAAAATGTTCATCACAATACCAAAAAATTAATAAAGAATCTGTATTTTTTTGCTCCAATCTGGCAACCCTCATAAAATTCGACATAGCCTTGTATAAAATGCATTATGAAAGAAATGGTGTAACCTACACGAAATTTGAAATGCGTTATGAAGAAAATCATGTAGGCCTACTGTTGACTACATGGAAAAAGTGCCTTTCTGCCTACAACTGCACCAGTATCCCAAAGTATTAAGCAAAAACAAGCACACATTTTAGCAGACACTCTTATCCAGAGCGATTTACAGGAGCAATTAGGGTTAAGTGCCTTGCCGGCACATTGACATATTTTTCACCTAGTCAGCTCGGGGATTAGAACCAGCGACCTTTCGGTTACTGGCACAACGCTCTTAACCACTAAGCTACCTGCCGCCCCAACATAGAAAACAGTACTGGCATTAATAATAAAATATAAATAAAAAAACACTACTATTATATTATAATTATTTCGGTGACAACCTCGTTGATTAACAATATTGGGTTGTTAACAAGTTTTTTCTAAATATAAATAAATGTGTGACACAAACAAAAGGCAGTGTAGAACACCATTGCACATAATGTTTGCTCTAATAACTTTAAAAGATTGTTCAGAAGTTTGACCCCCCAAAATTTCTTTTCCTATGAATTAAGTCACACTAAAATTAGTGTATTTTCACACGAATTAAGCCACACAAAAACGCACGAAATGCTGCTGTACATTTTGTACACATTTGCACAAATTGAGTGTGAGATTGTGTTGAAATATCATACCCTCAAGGCATGCTAACCTCTCACCATTACAATAACAGGGGAGGTTAGCATTTCTTTGGGGGTATCACTCATCATTATTCACGATTTATTCAGGATTATCCATAATCATGGTGGCATCCACATTCATGTGGACGTGTTTATAAACATATTCTATTCTTATTAACAATAAAAGTGACTCTAAAATTATCCCAGAAGGTTCATATTAGATTGTGTAGAAATGCAGGAAATTAGCTTTAGATGGCCAAAAAAATCTGAGGGAGGACCCCCCCCACACACACTTCTAAAGCCAAAGTTGTGCCCCTGGTTTCTGAGATACTGGAACCAGCACGCCTGGCACAGAAGATCATAACATGCTCAAAGTTGCTTAGGTCTCTCGTTTTGCCCATTCTAACATTCAATCGAACAGTAACTGAATGCCTCTATGCCTGTCTGCCAGCTCTATATAGCAAGCCACGGCTACACGACTCACTGTCTGTAGGAGCTAACCATTATTCGTGAACGGGGTGATGTACCTAATAAACTGTATATATAATATTAATATACTCACTAAAGACAGAGGAAGACAGAGGAAGTTGTGGAGTCTATAAGGTGAACACAGCTGTTGCTAAGAGATGAGAGGTTGGGGGTGGGATTTACTCTTATTATTGATATTGATTATTGTACTGCAATGTTGAGGGAGCTAGCACCTTTTATATCTGCTGTAAACTGTGTACGTGACGACTTGGAGTGCTACACATCTCAGTATGATCTTTGCAGGAAAATAATCTGATAAATACAATATTTTCAAGATAAAACATTTCCCCCCCCATTCAATCCTAGTCTCGCTCTCATTTTAATGTGACTGTGAGGAGCATGTGGCTGCCATTGAAACATTTCCTTCACATTTTTCAGAGGAAACTGAGGTCATACTGCCATCCCGTGGCTAGTGCCTGTAACAACATGTGGGACTCTACTGATGGCCCTGTGTTGAACTACACAAAAAGGGGGAATTTGATTGACAGAAGTTAAAATAAGACAAAGAAATCCAATTACGGTGATCTATTTAGTTTTATTTTGTCCAAATAAATAAAAGCACATTAAATGTGTCCTGCCAATACAGGAAACTGAAGACACCTTCTCTCTTGGCAACAACACACACCCATCCACAAGCAATGCTTTATAGAAAGGAAGGGGTTTAAAATGTGAATGTTGTGTTGTTTCAAGACATACACACACACACACACGCGCACACGCACGTTCACACACAAACACACTCACACACTTGTGAGTCTTGTTTAACTAACCTTATGGGGACACACAATTTATTCCCATTCAAAATCATATTTTCCCTAACCCTAACCTTAACCCTAACCTTTAACTCCTAATCCTAACCTTAATTCTAACCCTAACCCTATCACTAATTCTAACCTTAACCCTAAACCCCCTAGAAATAGCCTTTTTCCTTATGGGGACCAACAAAATGTCCCCAGTTGGTCAAATATTTGTTAGTTTACTATTCTTGTGGGGACTTCTGGACCCCACAAGTATAGTTAAACATGTCCACACAAACAAACACACACACACACACAAACGAATTGCTTGATTGAGGATGGAGATGCTGTTGTTATATTCCACAGACAGTCCAAATTGCTTGATGGCGATGTTGTTGATATACTGTTGATATCTGCTGTTGATATTTTCCATCAGTACAGTTGTAGAAGGAAACAACTGAGGATGGGGCCAAAAGTCTGAGAGTAGGTACTACATCATCTTGTTCCCAAAGTGATCCATCTATTGCCTGTGACCCACACCAAGGACTCAGAACCAGTGTTCTAGGTCAAAGTCTTAAAGCAGGTTCTACAGTACCTTTCAGTCACATCAAGCTGACTCTGTGGTACCCGGCGAGGTAGCCTGCCTCTGCCTCATCAGCTGTTCTTTCCGGGCCTTCTGGAAGGTCATCATGAAGGTCTGGACCTGGCTCTGACACTTCCTCCAGTCCTGGTGGTCGGCCATGTACTCCTGGACGGCATAGTGCAGCTCCCCACAGCCTGTCTTGCTGATCATCTGGTCCACTGGGTCCTCTTCATCCTGGTCCTCGCTGGGCCGACGGCACCGGTTGTGGGGTGGAGAGGAGGCCATTTTGGGAGGCATCTCTGTCTGGGGGGAGGGGAGATAGACTAGCCATCGTACCTCCATCTTGGCACTCCCCCACCATTGTAAAAATGGTGGGTGCACGGGCACAGCTTAGAGGGAACATTGGTGATAAGATTGTTTGAAACAGGTGGTCCAGAAAAACAGAAAACTGTGCTCCTCTTGCTGGACGATGAACACCTGGACAATTCTCTACAGGACACCAGAGAAATATAAGAGCAAAATATACATGCCAAATTCACTGTGGTCATTATCATACATTGCAAGGTCAGCCTTGGTGAAAATGCTGATGGGAAGACTAATGAGGAAGAAATGACCAGAACCAAGGTGACCCTCGGAACTCCGTCACACTCAGAGAAAGTCAGCCTTGAGAACAAAGAATGCGAATGTACCACGAACAGAATCTAATCACATTTTACAGCTTTAAGATAATTAAATCTGATTTCAGTAAAGAATATGTGAAATAAACATTTAGTTCAGAAAAAGGAAATGGAAAAGAAATCATGTAATTTGTGAAGAGAAACATAACATCCCGCAAAACCATACTCTTATCTGTTGCAGTCACAGTGTGAGGCATTCCTCTGGCATCCAGACCCTTCGGATGTGGATATGTCTTTTAAGGAGTAAGCACTAAGGAGTAAGCACTAAGGAGCCTTTCAGCGATCTCATGGTGGCATTCTCTAGGAAGAAGGTAGAAGACAAGCATGTTAACATGGCACGCTCACTTTTTGCTCATCAATGTGTTGAGTTACTGGCCGAGGCTGGTGTAACAAAGAGGTGAAACAGAATACATTTTCTAGGTTGATCCAAGATATTAAGCAATATGAAGGCTTTTCCACTTCTGTAAATGTCTTGAAAAACTGTGTCAGATACATTAATTTGCAATGCATTTTACCCCCAAGCTCTTGCTCGCTTTCATTACATCAAAATTAAGGACTTTTTCCAAGCTGTTGAAGAGGCTATAGAAGCCAAAAAGAGAGAGCCCACCAATTCATTCGTTGCTGATACATTGGGACAAGTCCATGAGAACCATTTGTGACTCGTTTCAGGAAACTAGGAGTATGTCGTGCCTCACTACTTCACAGGAGAGCCATTTGAACGTAAACTTTTTTTTAAAATCAAAATGCGTTTTTTTGGGAGAAATGCCTTCTGGAACATGTGAACTTTCATGTGTCTTAATAACAAACATGTATGCCATCTGTAAATACAAATATAATTGTTAAATTAGGAGCCTAGTTGGTTTAGCCAAAGAAAAAGACAGCAACCTTCCCGCTAGCCATGATTCGCTATGATAATGAGTGGGCTGGACATGCTGAGAGATGAGTTTGGATTGGTCTGCCATGTAGCACGATTCTGTCTATAACATGAGCTGGTCAGTATGTGTAGGTAATGCTTTCTAACGCGGCTTTCTTGAAAGATATCACATAGTAGAACTGCATAAGTGTTGCTCTCCACTTTCTGCAGGACCGAGTTTTGAAATCAGTGGAATTAGAGTATGATAGCTAAGGAGATGGAGAAAATTCTGCCGTTTGATTGCAAATATGCAGACGGAGTCGAAAAGAGAACACACAGAAGGCTGTTGTATAAAACACCTGTCTCCGGATTACATCTTCAAACTAAGGGCAACCATGACATCTGTGACAGAACGGGAGAAGTGTCTATCCATATATACGGGTAAGATAGTCTAGCTAGCTACATTTTCAGATATTACACGTTTCTAATTTAGTCAGACAGTCGTTTTCATTTCAAGTTAAAGTGTACTGTTAGCTAGCTAGCTAACGTTAGCTGGCTGGCTCGCTAGCTAACGTTACGTGTATGATCTGTAATTATATTATTCGTATCTCAGAGCCATTTGCATTGCTAGTTATAGCCTGATGTTAGCTAGCTAACATTGAACCTGGGTAGTTAGCTACCTGCAGATTTATGCAGGGTAGTAATGTTATGAGTTGGAATTATGGTTAATAGTTTAGCTAGCTAGCTAACTAGATGTCTAAACAAAAGACTCCACTATCTAAGTAACCATTTCAATAGAATGTTCATGATGTCACTGCGACAACTGTCGATAGACGTAGCTGGTAAATTTGCTCTGGCTATCTACTCCGATTTCAGAGCACTCTCGTCTGAGTGTGCCAGAGCGCAGAATAATTTACGAATTTGAATATGGCTGGTGTCAGTAGACGTAGGCAAAAAAGCGTAATTCAATTGGATGCCAGCAGCACAGTTGCAGTCACCAACGCTCTGGATAACATAAAAACAGCCTAACCAGCTCTGCTAGGGCGAGTAAAATGGTCAGAGTGAGCTGTTCTCTCATTTGTGTCTGGAAGTAGCTAGCAAGCTAGCCAAAGTTAGCCAGATAGCTTGGGTGCTTGACTGCTGTTGTTAGGTCAGTGTGCGCTCTGAACGCTCCGAGTGCGAAACGCTCTGAATTTACGAACGGACAATCTGACAACGCTCTGACAATCTGACAACACTCTGAGTTTATGAACGCCCAGAGCGCACTCTGAGCACACTCTGGCACTCCAGATTAAATTTACGAACACACCCATAGTATAAACCAGCCTTTAGTCTTGAAATCTTTGGTTGTTTAGTACATGGCCTCACATGTGAATCCTTAAAGAGATGGGTGGGGCTAAGGCTTAAGAGGGTGTGAACGATGCTGAATGGGTGTAGACAAAGAAGAGCTCTCCAGTAGGTATCAAAACATTCAAGGGCCATTTTTCTCAAAAGTGAGGTTACAAGTTTATCAACTTACAAAGCAGAATTACTTTCCCATTGTTCCTCAACTGAAATGTATGATATACAATTTTCTAGCTATGAGTCTCTACTTTTATCCAATGTAAAAAACACAATTTCAAATTCTGCTACATAAGACCGAATCTAGCCGGTCGGTCACATTTGAGGACTGAATCTGTGAAATCATGTGTAAGGGACACTTTGTTATATGCAGAAGAGGCCATCAATGTCTTAAACAGGAGGAAGAGTTGGCTGAAAAAGAAAAGGGTGCTGGCATAGAATATTACAGCATCTTTACTGATCTTAATATCTTTATTTTTATATTTATACTGATTTACCATCTTTAATGGGGGCACTTTGGCTTTTTGCAGCTTCCGAACACTGTTTTTGATTACCTTACCAAGATCGACCCAACATGGAAAAATGTCTTCACCCAGAAAACTCAAGGTACAAGCCTCTCCTCACCAGTCTCAGAGATGAGGTTCAGAAGAAATTAGTTTTTTGAGAGATACCTCACTTACTTTGAGCCCAGTAATGTAAGGGACCAGCCGCCATACTTTCAGCGAGAAATCACTGATCGCAAAGAACACGAGTACACCCAGACCACCAGGGGGTGTAGAGTCCAGAAGCGCCAAAAGAAAAAGGCCTCTACCTTTCCTGGACTTCTTTCCTGTCTCTATCAAAATACCAGTGAGTCTGACTTGCAACATATCACAGAAATGTGGAGTTTGATCTGTGATAACAAAGTAAAACATTGCAACGTTAACACTGTCTGTATTTACATCCTGGCCAACATCATCCAGACCAATAGGCCAGTGGCATCTCCAGAACCCACAACTCTACCACAACTAATGGTGCCAGAGGGGATGGCTGTCGTTTTACAGGCTCCTAACAAACTGTGCTATTTTGTGTGTTTTGTTGCATTGTTTGTAACTTATTTTATACATAATGTTGCTGCTACCATCTCTTATGACCGAAAAGAGCTTCTGGATATCAGAACAGCGATTACTCACCTCGAACTGGACGAAGATTTTTTCTTGAATGAATCTGACGCGAAGGATATACTGCTTCTCCGAGACCAGGCCCAAATCCCTGTCATTCACGTGAAAAAAAGACGGAAATACAGGGGGTGGAGATCGGGGTGCCTTGTTAGAATTCTTCGGCAAGTGGGTAACCCACCTCTACCATCCGTTCTATTGGCCAACATACAATCTACAGGAGAATAAACTGGATGATCTCCATTTGAGACTATCCTACCAACGGGACATTAAAAACTGTAATATTTTATGTTTCGGATAATATACATTTGGCTGTGTTTTCCGTGCATCGGCAGGACAGAACAGCTACGTCTGGTAAGACAAGGGGTGGGGGTGTGTGTCTATTTGTCAATAAAAGCTGCGATGTCTAATGTTAAGGAAGTCTCAAGGTATTGCTCGCCTGAGGTAGAGTACCTCATGATAAGCTGTAGACCATACTATCTACCAAGATAGTTTTTCATCTATCACTGCCTGATACCATGGCAACTGCTCGGCATCCGACCATAAGGCACTACAGAGGGTAGTGCGTAGGACCCAGTACATCACTTCCTGCTTCCTGCCATCCAGGACCTATATCAAATCAAATCAAATTGTATTTGTCATATGCACCGAATACAACAGGTGTAGACCTTACGGTGAAATGCTTACTTACAAGCCCTTAACCAACGAATGAAGTTCAAGAAATAGAGTTAAGAAAATATTTACTAAATAAACTGAAGTTAAAAATAAAATAAAAAGTAACACAATAAAATAACAGTAACAAGTCTATATACAGGGGGTAGCGGTACCGAGTCAATGTGCGGGGGTACAGGTTAGTCAAGGTAATTTGTACATGTAGGTAGGGGTAAAGTGACTATGCATAGATAATAAACAGAGAGTAGCAGCAGTATAAAAACAAAGGGGGGGGGGGGGGGTCAATGTAAATAGTTCGGGTGGCCATTTGATTTATTGTTCAGCAGTCTTATGGGTTGGGGGTAGAAGCTGTTAAGGAGGCTTTTGGACCTAGACTCGGCGCTCCGGTACCAACTGTCATGCGGTAGCAGAGAGAACAGTCTATGACTTGGGTGACTGGAGTCTTTGACCATTTTTTGGGCCTTCCTCCGCCTAGTATATAGGTTCTAGATGGCAGGAAGCTTGGCTCCAGTGATGTACTGGGCCGTACACACTACCCTCTGTAGCGCCTTGCGGTCGGATGCCGAGCAGTTGCCATACCAAGTGGTGATGCAAACGGTCAGGATGCTCTCGATGGTGCAGCTGTAGAACTTTTTGATTATCTGGGGACCCATGCCAAATCTTTTCAGTCTCCTGAGGGGGAAAAGGTGTTGTAGTGCCCTCTTCACGACTGTCTTGGTGTGTTTGAACTATGATAGTTCGTTGATGATGTGGACACCAAGGAACTTGAAACTCTCAACCTGCTCCACTACAACCACGTCGATGTTAATAGGGGCCTGTTCAGCCTTCCTTTTCCTGTGGTCCACGATCAGCTCCTTTGTCTTGCTCACATTGAAGGAGAGGTTGTTGTCCTGGCACCACACTACCAGGTCTCTGACCTCCACCTTATAGGCTGTCTCATCATTGTCGGTGATCAGGCCTACCACTGTTGTGTCGTCAGCAAACTTAATGATGTTGTTGTAATCGTGCTTGGCCACGCAGTCGTGGGTGAACAGGGAGTACAGGAGGGGACTGAGCACACACCCCTGAGGGGCCCCAGTGTTGAGGATCAGCGTGGCAGATGTGATGTTGCCTACCCTTACCACCTGGGGGCGGCCCGTCAGGAAGTCCAGGATCCAGTTGCAGAGGGAGGTGTTTAGTCCCAGGGTCCTTAGCTTAGTGATGAGCTTTGTGGGCACTATGGTGTTGAATGCTGAGCTGAAGTCAATGAACAGCATTCTCACATAGGTGTTCCTTTTATCCAAGTGGGAAAGGGCAGTGTGGAGTGTGATTGAGATTGCATCATCTGTGGATCTGTTGGGGCGGTCTGCGAATTGGAGTGGGTCTAAGGTTTCCGGGATGATGGTGTTGATGTGAGTCATGACCAGCCTTTCAAAGCACTTCATGGCTACCGGCGGTAGTCATTTAGGCAGGTTACCTTTTCTTTCTTGGGCACAGGGACTATGGTGGTCTGCTTGAAACATGTAGGTATTACAGACTCGGTCAGGGAGAGGTTGAAAATGTCAGTGAAGACATTTGCCAGTTGGTCTGCGCATGCTCTGAGTACATGTCCTGGTAATCTGTCTGGCCCCACAGCCTTATGAATATTGACCTGTTTAAAGGTCTTGCTCACACCGGCTACGGAGAGCGTGATCACAAAGTCGTCCGGAACAGCTGGTGCTCTCATGCATGCTTCAGTGTTGCTTGCCTCGAAGCGAGCATAAAAAGCATTTAGCTCGTCTGGTAGGCTCGCGTCACTGGGCAGCTCGCGGCTGGGTTTCCCTTTGTTGTCCGTGATAGTTTGCAAGCCCTGCCACATCCGACAAACGTCAGAGCCGATTTAGTAGGATTCAATCTTAGTCCTGTATTGATGCTTTGCCTGTTTGATGGTTCGTCTGAGGGCATAGCGGGATTTCTCATAAGCATCCGTATTAGTATCCCGCTCCTTGAAAGCGGCAGCTCTAGCCTTTAGCTCGGTGCGGATGTTGCCTGTAATCCATGGCTTCTGGTTGTGATATGTACGCACGGTCACTGTGGGGACGACGTCGTCGATGCACTTATTAATGAAGCCTGTGACTGAGGTGGTGTACTCCTCAATGCCATTGGGATGAATCCCGGAACATATTCCAGTCTGTGCTAGCAAAACAGTCCTGTAGCGTAGCATCTGTGTCATCTGACCACTTCCGTATTGAGCGAGTCACTGGTACTTCCTGCTTTAGTTTTGACTTGTAAGCAGGAATCAGAAGGATAGAATTATGGTCAGATTTGCCAAATGAAGGGCGAGGGAGAGCTTTGTTATGCGTCTCTATGTGTGGAGTATGCACCAATTTGTAAGTCGCTCTGGATAAGAGCATCTGCTAAATGACTTAAATGTGAATGAGTATAGGTGGTCTAGAGTTTTTTTCCCTCTGGTTGCACATGTGACATGCTGGTAGAAATTAGGTAAAACAGATTTAAGTTTGCCTGCATTAAAGTTCCCGGCCACTAGGAGCAATTTCTTGTTTGCTTTAGGCCTTATACAGCTCGTTGAGTGCGGTCTTAGTGCCAGCATCGGTTTGTGGTGGTAAATAGACGGCTACGAATAATATAGATGAGAACTCTCTTGGTAGATAGTGTGGTCTACAGTTTATCATGAGGTACTCTACCTCAGGCGAGCAATACCTTGAGACTTCTTTAATATTAGACATCGCGCACCAGCTGTTATTGACAAATAGACACACACCCCCACCTCTTGTCTTACCAGACGTAGCTGTTCTGTCCTGCTGATGCACGGAAAACCCAGCCAGCTCTATATTATCGGTGTCGTTGTTCAGCCACGACTCAGTGAAACATAAGATAGTACAGTTTTTAATGTCCCGTTGGTAGAATAATCTCGAATGGAGATCATCCAGTTTATTTTCCAATGATTGCACGTTGGCCAATAGAACAGATGGTAGAGGCGGTTTACCCACTTGCCAACAAATTCTCAAAAGGCACCCCGATCTCCGCCCCCTGTATTTCCATCTTTTCTTTATGCGAATGAAGAGGATTTGGGCCTGGTCTTGTGGAATAATAATAATAATAATATGCCATTTAGCAGACGCTTTTATCCAAAGCAACTTACAGTCATGTGTGCATACATTTTTACGTATGGGTGGATCGAACCCACTACCCTGGCGTTACAAACGCCATGCTCTACCAATTGAGCTACAGAGAAGCAGTATATCCTTCCCGTCAGACTCATTAAATAAAACATTTTGTCCAGTTTCAGGTGAGTAATCGCTGTTCTGATATCCAGAAGCTCTTTTACGGTTATAAGAGATGGTAGCAGCAACATTATGTACAAAATAAGTTACAAATAATGCGAAAAAACTAACAAAAAAGCACAGTTGTAAACTATATATACTAGGCGGTGTCAGAGGAAGACTAAAAAAATTGTCAAAGACTCCAGTCACCCAAGTCATAGACTGTTCTCTCTGCTACCACACGGCAAGCGGTACCGGAGCGCCAAGTCTAGGTCCAAAAGCCTCCTTAACAGGTTCTACCCCCAAGCCATAAGACTGCTGAACAATTAATCAAATGGCCCCCCTTGACTATTTACATTTACACCCCCCCCCCCCCTTTGTTTTTACACTGCTGCTACTCACTGTTTATTATCTATGCATAGTCACTTTACCCCTACCTACATGTACAAATTACCTTGACTAACCTGTACTCCCGCACATTGACTTGGTACCGGTACACCCTGTATATAGCCGCGTTATTGTTATTTTGTGTTACTTTTTATTTTATTTTTTACTTCAGTTTATTTAGGAAATACTTTCTTAACTCTATTTTTTGAACTGCATTGTTGGTTAAGGGCTTTTAAGTAAGCATTTCACGGTTGTATTCGGCGCATGTGTCAAATAAAATTTGATATGATTTGATACTCTTCAGAATTTCATGGAGGAAGAAAAGACCAAACTCTGGACCCCAGAGTTTTACCTCCTCGTCCTGCTACTGTTTTGGCGCGAGGAAGCATGAGAGGAGGATGTCACCAAGAACACTGATCTCAACAGGTATTTTGGACTCATGAAATGTGCATATGACAACAAATACAATAACTATATTCAATCCAGAGAACTCTTCTACCTGGGAAAAGGGTGCTTGTTTGAAAAAACTGGTTCTCAAATAGACAACCAATGTAAACAGTCTGAGACGGAGGGGAAGCCAGGCCAGAGTTTTAAAAACCAACTTGTTCATGTCAATGGAGTCGTCAGAAAGCATAGGGTATTTTCCTGTAAGGCAGACAAAGAGATTGAGATTTGTCCTCAGAAACAGGCCAGTGTGTGGAAGGATGGCAACATCTCATTTTTACCTTGGCTTTAATATCAGTGGCCCTGTGGCTTTTGACATAAAGTACACAATATACACAGTGGGATCTGGAGGAAATGTTAAGAAACAAATGGATGATGCCATTGGATCAGAGGGAACCATAATGGAAGAATAAAAAACATTCAATCAAGGTAATTCATACCCTGACTTGCATTAGATTTCTTTCCACATGATAGGGCCCGTTTAAATGTTAGTAACTAGTATAAAACTTTATTCATGTTGAATTACCCAGACATTGGGGGCAATTTAGCTGACTTATTAAAAAATGAATATACAGATGGATGTTAGTCTTATACAGAATATAATGTGAACATGGAGTGAATATCTCGATTTATATTTATGTTTTATTTGGTGTAATTAAAATATTAAATGGTGTGTATACTGTATCCATGGGTTTATTTCTAAGATACAGTACCAGGGACCTCCAAAGGCCAAGATGCCTGTGTTTTACCTCTTTTGGTATCACAGCAATATTATTAGCCATTGACTCTTTCTTATTGGCTATAATTGTAAACTACTCATCAAAGGTCAAAGGTGAAAAAAGGTTAAACAATTATTCTCATTTCAGGTATCCCAACAATTATTCTCATTTCAGGTATCCCAATGGTCTGTAGACACATTCAGGTTAAGTCAGAAAATATACATTTTGGGCCACTGACTGCACTGCTGGGTTGGGATCCATTCCAATAACATTTCAGTAAACTAAAAACGCCCTAAAAATTGTCAAAGACTCCAGCCACCCAAGTCATAGACTTGTGGTACCGATGCATCAAATCTGGAACCAACAGGACCCTGAACAGCTTCTACCCCCAAGCCATAAGACTGCTAAATAGTTAACCAAATAGCTACCTGGACTATCTACATTGACTCCCCTTTGCACTAACTCTTTTGACTCATCACATACACTGCTGTTACTGTTTATTATCTATCCTGTCACCTAGTCATTTTAACCCATACAGTGCCTTCGGAAAGTATTCAGACCCCTTGACCTTTTCCACAATGTGTTACGTTACAGACTTATTCGAAAAATTTATTAAATCAATTAAAATCCTCAGCAATCTACACACAATACCCCATAATTACAAAGTGGAAACAGGTTTTTAGAAATGTTTGTGGATTTATAAAAAAAATATTAAAAATGTTTGTACATTTATTAAAAAACAGAAATAACTTATTCACATAAGTATTTAGACCCTTTGCTATGAGACTCGAAAATGAGCTCAAGTGCATCCTATTTCCATTGATCATCCTTGAGAAGTTTCTATAACTTAATTGGAGTCCACCTGTGGTAAATTCAATTGATTAGACATGATTTGGAAAGGCACACACCTGTCTATACAAGGTCAGAGCAAAAACCAAGCCGTGAAGTGGAAGGAATTGTCCTTAGAGCTCCGAGACAGGATTGTGTCGAGGCACAGATCTGGAGAAGGGTACAGAAAATGTCTACAGCATTGAAGGTCCCCAAGAACACAGTGGCCTCCATCATTCTTAAAGGGAAGAAGTTTGAAACCACCAAGACTCTTCCTAGAGCTGGCCGCCCGGCCAAACTGAGCAATCAGGGGAGAAGGGCCTTGGTCAGGGAGGTGACCAAGAACCCGATGATCACTCTGACAGAGCTCTAGAGTTCCTCTGTGGAGATGGAAGAACCTTCCAGAAGGACAACCATCTCTGCAGCACTCCACCAATCAGGCCTTTATGGTAGAGTGGCCAGACGGAAGCCACTCCTCAGTAAAAGGCACATGACAGCCCGCTTGGAGTTTTCAAAAGGCACCTAAAGACTCTCAGACCATGAGAAACAAGATTCTCTGGTCTGATGAAACCAAGATTGAACTCTTTGGCCTGAATGCCAAGCGTCACGTCTGGAGGAAACCTGGCACCATCCCTACGGTGAAGCATGGTGGTGGCAGCATCATTTTGTGGGGATGTTTTTCAGTGGTAGGGACTGGTAGACTAGTCAGGATCGAGGCAAAGATGAACGGAGCAAAGTAAGCAAAGTACAGAGAGATCTTTAATGAAAACCTGCTCCAGAGTGCTCAGGACCTCAGACTGGGGCGAAGGTTAACCTTCCAATAGGACAGCAACTCTAAGCACACAGCCAAGACAAAGCAGGAGTGGCTTTGGGACAAGTCTCTAAATGTCCTTGAGTGGCCCAGCCAAAGCCCGGACTTGAACCCGATCTAACATCTCTGGAGAGACCTGAAAATAGCTGTGCAGCAACGATACCCATCCAACCTGACAGAGCTTGAGAGGATCTGCAGAGAAGAATGGGAGAAACTCCCCAAATACAGGTGTGCCAAGCTTGTAGCGTCATACCCAAGAAGACTTGAGGCTGTAATCGCTGCCAAAGGTGCTTCAACAAAGTACTGAGTAAAGGGTCTGAATTCTTATGTAAATGTGATATTTCATTTTCTTCATTTTTTATAAATTAGCAAACATTTCTAAAAACCTGTTTTTGCTGTGTCATTATGGGGTATTGTGTGCAGAGTGATGAGAAAAAAAGAACAATTTAATCTACTTTAAATCTGTAACCTAACAAAATGTGGTCTGAATACTTTCCGAAGGCACTGTTTCTACCTCAATTTCTTTGTAACCCTGCACATCGACTCATTACTGGTACCCTGAGCGGCAGGTAGCTTAGTGATTAAGAGCGTTGTGCCAGTAACCGAAAGGTCGATGGTTCTAATCCCTGAGCCGACTAGGTGAAAAATCTGTCGATGTGCCCTTGAGCAAGGCACTTAACCCTAATTGCTCCTGATTTTTTTTGTTTTTTCTTAAAATTTATTATTTAACCTTTATTTAACCAGGTAAGCCAGTTGAGAACAAGTTCTCATTTACAACTGCGACCTGGCCAAGATAAAGCAAAGCAGTGCGATAAAAACAACAACACAGAGTTACATATGGGGTAAAAAAAACATAAAGTCAAAAATAGGTAAGGCAATAAATAGGCCATAGTGCAAAATAATTACAATTAGTATTAACACTGGAATGATAGATGTGCAAGAGATGATGTGCAAATAGAGATACTGGGGTGCAAATGAGCAAAATAAATAACAATATGGGGATGAGGTAGTTAGGTGGGCTAATTTCAGATGGGCTGTGTACAGGTGCAGTGATCGGTAAGGTGCTCTGACAACTGATGCTTAAAGTTAGTGAGGGAGATAAGAGTCTCCAGCTTCAGAGATTTTTGCAGTTCGTTCCAGTCATTGGCAGCAGAGAACTGGAAGGAATGGCGGCCAAAGGAGGTGTTGGCTTTGGGGATGACAAGTGAAATATACCTGCAGGCGCGCATACTACGGGTGGGTGTTGCTATTTTGACCAATGAGCTTAGAGAAGACAGGGATTTGCCTAGCAGTGATTTATAGATGACCTGGAGCCAGTGGGTTTGGCGACGAATATGTAGTGAGGAGCAGCCAACAAGAACGTACAGGTCACAGTGGTGGGTAGTATATGGGGCTTTGGTGACAAAACGGATAGCACTGTGATAGACTACATCCAATTTGCTGAGTAGAGTGTTGGAGGCTATTTTGTAAATGACATCGCCGAAGTCAAGGATCGGTAGGATAGTCAGTTTTACGAGGGCATGTTTGGCAGCATGAGTGAAGGAGGCTTTGTTGCGAAATAGGAAGCCGATTCTAGATTTAACTTTGGATTGGAGATGCTTAATGTGAGTCTGGAAGGAGAGTTTACAGTCTAACCAGACACCTACAGTGGGGGAAAAAAGTATTTAGTCAGCCACCAATTGTGCAAGTTCTCCCACTTAAAAAGATGAGAGAGGCCTGTAATTTTCATCATAGGTACACGTCAACTATGACAGACAAAATGAGAAAAAAAAATCCAGAAAATCACATTGTAGGATTTTTAATGAATTTATTTGTAAATTATGGTGGAAAATAAGTATTTGGTCAATAACAAAAGTTTCTCAATACTTTGTTAGATACCCTTTGTTGGCAATGACACAGGTCAAACGTTTTATGTAAGTCTTCACAAGGTTTTCACACACTGTTGCTGGTATTTTGGCCCATTCCTCCATGCAGATCTCCTCTAGAGCAGTGATGTTTTGGGGCTGTCGCTGGACAACACAGACTTTCAACTACCTCCAAAGATTTTCTATGGGGTTGAGATCTGGAGACTGGCTAGGCCACTCCAGGACCTTGAAATGCTTCTTACGAAGCCACTCCTTCGTTGCCCGGGCGGTGTGTTTGGGATCATTGTCATGCTGAAAGCCCCAGCCACGCTCACCGTTCCACGTTTCATCTTCAATGCCCTTACTGATGGAAGGAGGTTTTCACTCAAAATCTCACGATACATGGCCCCATTCATTCTTTCCTTTACACGGATCAGTCGTCCTGGTCCCTTTGCAGAAAAACAGCCCCAAAGCATGATGTTTCCACCCCCATGCTTCATAGTAGGTATGGTGTTCTTTGTCTTCTAAACACGACGAGTTGAGTTTTTACCAAAAATATCTATTTTGGTTTCATCTGACCATATGACATTCTCCCAATCCTCTTCTGGATCATCCAAATGCACTCTAGCAAACTTCAGACGGGCCTGGACATGTACTGGTTTAAGCAGGGGGACACGTCTGGCACTGCAGGATTTGAGTCCCTGGCGGCGTAGTGTGTTACTGATGGTAGGCTTTGTTACTTTGGTCCCAGCTCTCTGCAGGTCATTCACTAGGTCCCCCCGTGTGGTTCTGGGATTTTTGCTCACCGTTCTTGTGATCATTTTGACCCCACGGGGTGAGATCTTGCGTGGAGCCCCAGATCGAGGGAGATTATCAGTGGTCTTGTATGTCTTCCATTTCCTAATAATTGCTCCCACAGTTGATTTCTTCAAACCAAGCTGCTTACCTATTGCAGATTCAGTCTTACCAGCCTGGTGCAGGTCTACAATTTTGTTTCTGGTGTCCTTTGACAGCTCTTTGGTCTTGGCCATAGTGGAGTTTGGAGTGTGACTGTTTGAGGTTGTGGACAGGTGTCTTTTATACTGATAACAAGTTCAAACAGGTGCCATTAATACAGGTAACAAGTGGAGGACAGAGGAGCCTCTTAAAGAATAAGTTACAGGTCTGTGAGAGCCATAAATCTTGCTTGTTTGTAGGTGACCAAATACTTA